TATATATAGAGAGAGAGAGAGAGAGAGAGAGAGAGAGAGGCAAGAACTTCTGATTTTTATCAGGGATTTTCAATCATTTGTGGCAAATCTTTCCTCAACTCATCAATCTTGTTAAGATTGTGGTGTCTCTAGTCAATTCCTAATCTCATTCCATGTTTTCATTTTTTGCTAATTCTGATTTGTGATTTTGATAAACTGTCAAAAATGATCGGTTCTTCACAATCCTTGGTTAGGATTGCATTGTTTTGTAATCAGAGCTCAATTCTCGGAGTTGAATTGTCAAAACTCATTTTCGTTTGGTGAGTTATTATGCTTTTCCAAATAAAAGTGAGAAATCTTAAATTGATCATTGAAAAGAAGAAATTTGAAAGATATCAAAGTCCTCTCTCAAGTTTTGATCATTGAAATTTCACTACATATAATTGTTGTTCTAAATTGATTTGTTGCGGAAGTATGAATCCAATAGTTGAAAGTATTGTCAAATATTCTTTGTCTAAATTCTAAGCCTTCTTAGTTGCTCATTAAAATCCTTTGAGTAGTATACTTTGTTCTTGAGCTTTATTATTTGTCTTTTAAAAATTGACATATATGGATAAAAGATGAAAAGAAATACTCAAGAGGGGGAAACAAAAGAAAAGGAAATTAGAGAAAGAGTTGAGGAAAAAAAGAAATGAGGAAGAAAGTTGAGAGAAAAAGAAAGTGAACATGAGGAAAAATACTTTTATTTTTATACTAAGCCTTTGTTTGGTTATGATGACTCTCTTATAAAGGAATTTGCCGGCGAGCTTCACAAAAGGAATGCAAAACTTTATATTCTAATCCCTTGTTTGGAAGTAATGACCCTATAGTAAAAGGAGATGAAAAGGAGTCTTCCAAGGAGGAATGCAATACTTTAATTTTTTCTTCAAAATTGAAAGATGGACTCAATTCTCATTGTAGATTTGCTTGTCCTCCTAGCAATGTAACTTCCTTTGTTTTGACACCTAAGGAAGAATTGTACATAAATGATTAATGGACAACACAATTTGGAGAAGATGTGGTTACATATGAGAAGCAAGACAACCAATGAGAAGAGGATTTTGAACATGTCTTCTCTAAATCTAATGTTTTGATTAATATGCAACATGTGTTAATTATTGATTTGCATGATACTTATAATTTGCACAACGCATATGATTTGCATAATCTTGTTTTAGGTCATGATACAAAGTTCTTGAGATTTGAGAATAACACACATCATTTGCAATTATATGATCATGATGAGTTTATGTGTGTTGTTTATGGAGAAATCGAAAATGATGAGTTTTGTAGGCATAAAAAGCATGTGTTTAAAGATGTTAAATTTTGTGAACCAAAATCTTTGCATGATTCATTAATTAGAGGAACTCATGGTGAAGTATAGTGATGCATAGACATTTCTTTGAGAATAACATGAGGTATGATGTGCTTAAGTGTAGTGATAGATGGATGTTGGAAAATTTAAATTCTATGAGATGAATTTTATTTAATGAAGTTTGATGGTTTAATTAGATTTGTATTTGATCCAGGCAATTGGTTTAGTATGTACTTCCTTATACTTGTATTTGATTCGGGAGGTTGGACACATCAGTACACAAATAATGAGATTTGACCTTCCAAAGGGATCAAGTCTCCATAAAGGTAGAATTTTCCTTATTCTATTGAAAATCGTGGGCAAATTTCTCTCAAGAAGGACAGATGTAGATACTTGTAGTATTTTCTTTGAAGACCTCGAAGGGCCAATGAGATTGGAAAAAGAGCTCAACATGAAGCTCAATGTTTGAAAGAAGGTCCATGGATGAATAAGAAGGAAGGTTCATTAATTGGAGCCAATTATTAGAATAGGATTTTGGCACTTGATGCTTGTAATAAGTATTTTTTAGGGGTGTTCTCACCCAAAATTGGCCTAAGCGAAAATTTTCTTGGCTTAAGCAAAGTTTGCTTCGCTCCAATTTGTGCACAAGCCAGATATTTTTTTTTGGCATATGCAAATCTGTCTGCAAGTTAGTTATGTTTTTGCATTTTTATGAATTCTTTTGCACATCTTTTGGTTTTTTGGACTTCTTTGGGTCTTCTTTGAATGCCTAAACTCTATTTCAGACCCCCAAACCCCAATGTATAAATAGGCATTCCTATGGCTTATAAGAGACTTTTGATCAATTAGAAATTGAAGCCATTGCTTTCTTTGTTCTTGTTCAAGAACATCTGATTTTTATCAAGGATTTTTAGTCCTTTGTAGTGAATCTTCCTCGACTCATCAATCAGGGTAAGATTGTGACCTCTACAATCCATTTCTAATCTCATTTTGCGTTTTCATTTTAGGCTGATTTTAATATATGATTTGGCAAAACTGTCAGAAATGATCCACTCTTCACAATCCTTGGTTAGGATCGCATCATTCTGTGTAGGGCATTGACTCTGATAAAGGGAAAGAGTCCCAT